CAATAACATTTGCTTAGCATTTGCTATATGCTGGACACTGTGCTAGTTCATGGGACATATAGTTAAATAAAAATGTAATCTAGTACTGAGGAACTTGTACTATAGCTGGGAGAGTTCAAACTCTGTTGTGTGGTTCATGGAAATATACTTGGTTACTTGGTGCCCTGGAATTTGTATCAAGTAGGTGTCATCTGTTACCTTATTAGAGGGGTGGCAAGGTGGGAGGACCAGCCTGGGCAACACTGGGAGATCCTGTCTCTACACAAAATTAGCCAGGCATGGAGGCATGTGCCTGTGGTCCCAGCTATTTGGGAGGCTGATGTTGGATGATCAGTAGACCAGGGGTGTGAGCCTTTGGTGAATTATGATTGCACCACTGCGCACATTCTAGCCTGGGTGACCGAGCAAGACTCTGTCTCAAAAACAAACAAACAAACAAAAAACCAAAAATAAAAAAAAAGAAAGAAAAATGGCCATACAGTTTATCATCCAGATTGGAAGACTTTTGAGCTGGAACAGAGGCATTATTAATTGCTTCAGGTAAAGAGACTCAGATCAAGACTGTTCCAGGCAAATTTAGACCTAGCGTCTTTCTATTCTGAGGTCCACTTCAATAGTGGTTTTGAACACAGGTGGTGAGAAAGAAGCATAACATGACACCAACTTTTCAATTTTTAAATAAATTCTTATGTTTCACCTATCAAAATATTTATTGCCTAAAAATTAAGAATAACATGAAGTCAAAATAAAGGAATATTAATCACAGGAGCAAGATGTTTGTATGTTTATTAAGTAGATGAGTTGCCATACGTTATCTGGATGTGCGTCCATGAGTGTTCTTATGAAGAATGTTCTGTTCTCTGAGCTCCTGTTTGAGGAGAAAGCATGGTTAAATGAAATTTGACCTGACGTTTTATACAAAGCACAGAGAAAGCTCCCCATGTCTTTCTTTCCTTGGATGGTTTTATTTCGACTCATCATGTTTTGCTTCTTGGAAAGTGTTTGTTATTCTTACTAAGTGACTTAAGAGTTTTTAGACATCACTCTTATGTTTGGACCAATGAGGCAAAAGCATGTGAGGGATTTACAGTTTGCATGCAAGTTTCACGTGCTGGAAGTACGGTATATATAGACCCTACCTTAGGAGGGAGAATATTTTCTGCTGGGGAAACAGGCCTGTAAGCTTTTTGGTCATTGCAGTGAGAGTGTTAGTGACTAAATGCAGATGCATTTTAGTGCACTGTAATATGATTTTAAAAATTGTTCAAACAATCAATTTACTGTTGTCATCACATCTCTTCTGATTTTCAAGTGCAAATTTGACACCATTGTTCTTATTAACAATTAAAAAAAGTTTTACCCCTTAAGTTTCCATTATAAGGGATGCATTCTTGAAGTCATGGTTACATTAAAATTCTTACTACAAATGAAGCCAGCTAAAAATGTTTACCAACTTGAATTGAGCTCATCATGTTTTGTTTGCTGAATAGTGTTTTGTGATTTTACCAACATAAGAATGAGTCTCCAAACTATTTTTAAAAGTAGAGCTTTTACTCTAAAGAAGTGCTTGCCTCATTTTCTTCGTGCTACTCCAAACAAGATGTTGTTTATTACTTTGAAACACTATATGTAAACCCCAGGAATATGTTAAATATGATTGAAGTCTTGGCTGTCTTTAACAAATTGAAGTTTCCAGAAATTTAGCTGTGTTTAAAAACCAAAGCCATGTTTTCAGGAAAGATTTCTATTTCCAAATATGTGGTTGCCCAAACCTTTTATATTTTCATGTCAAATTCAGCTGCCAAATAACACACACTGTACCTTAGCTATAATAAAAAAAAAAAAAAAACACACAAACCAACACATAGACTTCAGATTTTAAAAAGCACTGCAAGGACAACTATGATCATATTTCTTGAACTTATGCTATTCATATGCATATAAGCATGTTTTAGAGTAAACTCTGTGAGGCATCGGTCACTTACACCGGTACAAATTGACAGGCACGGCACAAGATTGGCACTGTGTAACAGCCGATCTGGGAAACTACAGGAATTCCTAGCCAGACCAAAATATGAGGTCAAGGAAGTCACTTTTATAATAATAGTGGTTAACTGTTTAATGTGTGATCTGGCAGTGATATGATGTTGACCATAGGCAATTATGCATATTTCTAAACTGGTTGTATGCAAGCCTGGAGTAAAAGAAATCCCCCAGTTTGCGATAAAAGGGTATTTATTGCCTTTTTATTTCCTTCAAATGCTTTACTTAATCATTTATAAAAGACAAATTAGTAGTGAATACCAATTTCATTTTGTGTTTTATTCTGTATTCATTCCTACACGTTTGGGATCTCTATTAATATGTGCTCTTAATAGTTTTGGCACAAGTTCAATGTCAACGAATGAATGATGTACACATTTTATAGTCTTCTTAAGGGATAATAATGTGGTTCAGTGACAGTGTGTCTTGATTTCTTTGGGGGCAGGGCGCTCTGATATGAGTCATAAGGGATAAAGACTATTAGTTATTTTTCCCTCTGCTAGAGCAGTGATGCAAAATTTTTGTTTCATTATAGTGCATTTTCTTAGAACGGCAATATCAGGTTTAGTGTATAGATTAATGCTTAAGAAACTGGTTGATCACATGGGACTGTCTTTTGCTTTATCCTTTCAACATGACTGAAAATTTATATTCCATATTTTCATGTCAATGACAAGGTGATGACGAGGCAAAGGAGTTATATTGGCTTGTTGCATACATCGAATGTAACATTATTTTCTTTACAGAAAAAATATGTTTATTTTGAACAAGAGAAAAGAACTTGAGTATTTCAAGTATCAGGAAAGCTATCTTGCAGAGGATGGTGGTTGGCTGCTATTTACCTACTCTGTGGGCAGAACAAAATGCAATAGGATTGGATTTCAGTAAAATGGGCTTAAATTAGTCTCTTAGAAGCACATACATAAAACACTACAATGGGTCGCAATAGTTGCCCTTTTTGTTCCCAGGAACTGGGTCTGCTGTACTCACCCGGATTCAGCATGGTCCCTGGCATAGATAGAGGCTCAGCCAATTTTAAATGTAAAGGGAGAGGTTGGATTAGGGAGATGCTTACAGAGGCATAGCATCAGGTCCCAATATAAGGTATATACGTTTTAAGGATTAATGGTGCCATTGTCTTAGAAATTTAATGTCATCCACAAAGAAATTAGAATTGTAAATATTGAAAATCTCCATGAAATTTTAAATTATATGAATATGCCATAATTACTCCCATGATTTTCCAAATTTTCCAGACATTTCACCTTTAAAGTGGTACAGTAGAAAGGATGAGAGTCTATGGCATTGGAAGTGGTGGACTAGGAGACTTCTGGCCCCAGCATAATTCACTCCTTGTGGGGATCCAGGGCTATTTATTAGCTGCAGTAGTTGCCTTCGAGAAGCCTCTAAAGACTGAATATGAGATGTTAAGAGCTATACATTGTATCTATTCTGAAGACTATTTCCTCTGAGTGCTGTGTGTGTGTGTATGTGTGAATGAGAGGGAATGTAGTCAGTTACATATTATTCCTCTAACATCCAACTGTACCTTGAAAGGATTTTATTTGAAAGATGTAAAAAAAAAATGTTCCAAACAAGGAGCCAAATGTAGCTACCAGGCATTGAGGAGTTCTGAGGGCTCAGAGAAAGTATCCCTTCTACCTACATGTGGACTGCTTGTCACAAGACTGGCCAGCGCCAGATTTCAACCAGAGAAGACAAGGCAGTATTTCACATGCCCAGCCGCTGGGTTGGGTTTTTGGTGGCTCAGTCTCCAGAGACTTTCAGAGCGGGTCTCTGGTGAAAATGCTATCTGGGGCTGACGTGGGTGGGGCCATTCCAGCATTGAGAACCAAAGCACTGCAGAGCTTATAGGTTTCATAGACTTAGGAAAATATTTAAGGTCTGATTATAATTACATTGGTTGCAAATGACAAAAAGTACCAAACTCAGATTAACAAATATAAACAAATGCAATGTTGTGTCAGCTTCATTCATCGTCAAAAAGAGTACTCATAAAAATCGTCATTACGTTTAAAAACAGTTCAAATGTGCATGTTGATTGCTTAGAAATCACAGCTGATTGTAAATTTGGTGTATTACTTGAGGCCTAATTATTTCAGAAACAAAAAATAGTTTTAAAAACAAAAATTATTTCAAAAGTTTTACAGCAAAATGATTGCATTTAAAGTGTGACATGGGTGTATTTTAATGTTTGATATAATTGATCTCCAGAAATAATGGTGCCTGGGATTTCCAGAGGCATTTAAATGGCCTTGAATCCATGAAACTAAGTGGGAAGAGGTAAGAGATTAGGCATATTTTAAAGGATGCTAAAAGAGCATTACATAGGTATCATACTACTTTAGAAAGTGAGGTATACAATTAGCCCTTTACTTTCTTTCTTCTTTTTTTTTGGAGACAGCCTTGCTCTGTCACCCAGAGCTTACTGCATCCTTGAACTCCTGTGCTCAAAGAATCCTCTCACCTCAGCCTCGCAAGTAACTGGGACTTCATTTGTGTACCTCTATGCCTGCTAATATTTTTATTTTTGTTTTATTTTTTAAATTTCAATAGATTTTTTGGGAACAGTTGGTATTTTGTTAGATGTATAAGTCCTTTAGTGATGATTTCTGATATTTTGGTGCACCTATCACTTAAGCAATGTACACTGTACCCAATGTGTAGTCTTTTACCCCTCACCACCCCCCACACCCTTTCCCCAGAGTCCCCAAAGTCCATTGTATCATTCTTATGCCTTTGCAGACTCATAGCTTAGCTCCTACATATGAGTGAGAAAATACAATGTTTGGTTTTCCATTCCTGAGTTACTTCACTTAGAATAATACTCTCCAATCCAGGTTTCTGCAAATCCCATTATTTCATTCTTTTCTATGGTTAAATAGTATTCCATGGTGTGTGTGTGTGGGTGTGTGTGCGTGCGCGTGCGTGTGTGTATCTATTTAACATATATATAACTCTATATATACACTAGTATTTCATGGTATAATATGTACATCTATAAAATGAGAGGATATTCTGTATCTCCTCATTTATTGATGGGCATTTGGGCTGGTTCCATATTTTTGCAATTGCAAATGGTGCTGCTATAAACATGAGTGTGCAAGTATCTTTTTGTAAAATGACTCTTTTCCTCTGGATAGATAGACACCTAGAAGTAGGATTATTTTCTGTGGAGACGGGATCATAGTATGATGCCTGGGCTGGTCTCACACTCCTGGCCTCAACTGATCCTCCCGCCTCGACCTCCCAAAGCCCTGGGATTACAGGCATGAACCACCACAACTGGATCCCCTTTACTCTCAATCAAATTCTTTATGACATGTAATCGGATAACTTTGAAGGTGAAGAATTCAGTTCTTAAATACACAGTGCTTGTTAACTTATCTAGAAAAGGAAAAGGTAAGAATCTGACCTCAGGCGAATAATGCTGTGCAGTGCCTCTTGTGATATGTGCTTTATGTAAAAATGCTTAAAACTGGTTTAATCTCTACAGTCAGGACAACTGCTCATTATTTCCAGTTGGCTACATTTCTTTTGTGTAACAAGAACCAGTGAGTTAGGGAAGGGAGATGATAGTTCCAGTTTCAGTTAAAGAAATTGCAGGTGAAGAAGGCACAACTCTGTCTACAACAGAGTTATTTCGTAGCACATTCTGAACTTTGCTTGATGATGTGACATGACTATTTTAAATTGTATTTTATTCCTTATACATAATCACATTGTTTGTATATCAACAGGTAAGGGTTCACTGGTGCTTCTATTTCAGCCTATACTTAATTATGGTTTTAGTATTCTAGAAGGACTATATTTGTAATTTGGTGAGCCCTTCCGTGCAAACCATTAAATGTTACTAATTAATATAGTTGTCTAGTATTTAGATAGAATAAATTGCTCATTTTTATTTCATTATCTTGTATTCTTAATATGTTTCTAACTATGACAGACACTCGGGTACGCTTATGATGTATAGTAACTTTAAGGCCCATTTTAATACTTCTAGAATGTTTTTCGCTTTTGCACCTTACTCCTTTTTTTCTGTCATAAGAAACTACGAAGTATTTGTTGCAGGTCTTGGTTTCCTTCTTGATAGACGAGGCAACTGCAAGGCATGGACTATTGAAATGAAGTGCAAGGCCACGGTCTTTAGTTAATATCTAAAGAAGGGCTGCTCTCCCAATTCCCAGAGGAAATTTCCTATGGCCTTTTATGAAAAAATGGCAGGGTCTCCTTAATCCTTAATTAATTCTCCAGCTCTCTTCTCCTTCCTCGAGTTGTCCCGATTAGGAATGTCTTCAGGTAGAGGCTCCATTAGGAAAGGGTCACTTGTGTCTTGTTGACTTGTGTATCCCCACCGTGTGACCGTAATACTTAGTAATAAGTATTTATGGATTCAGTAAATAAGTAAGTGAATGAGTGCAAAGGCTTGTAGCAGAGGTTTGCTTGCAGTCACTGGAGCTCTCTGCTGAGCCTGAGTGGTGGAGCCCCAATTTGACACACTGCACTGTCACCATCTTTGAGCACACCATTGTTGAAATGGCTCTCCTGGCCTCGTTTTGCCTAATCTGCCCACTTCATCACTTTCCTCAGGTCAACTTGAGACTTTGGTTTGTTGCAGAAGCTGCTGGTTTTGATCTGCTCCTCCTTGGCACCAGGGGAGATTAGGAAGAGTGAATCTAAACAAGATTGGACAAAGTAAGTGGAAAGAGGCTAGTTGACTCATAAACTGAGATAGGTTGGTGGTGTTCTAGCAAAGGTGTTAAAGAGGTTAGCTTAGAGTTGTGTTTGTGAAAGACTTCCACACTGTGTCTGTATGGTTTCAACATCCTTCCCATTCAACACAGTCCTCTTCTTTCTTCCCTTTCCTGGAGACAACCAGCATGCTCTCCTCAAAGAACTGCCATGGCTGAATTCTGCCCCATTAGTGCAAGGCTGCTGCACCAATGAAAGGTACAATAAACAGCCCTACACAATGCGTTGTTCTGTGTGTTGCGAGGATATGTCGAGGCTTTCTGTTTTCTGCTTTCTACTGTGCCTTCTCAAGGAGGGCCGCAGGGACAAATTTCTCTGTGGGCTCATAACCAGGAATAATTATGTCCCTCCTGGACAAATGGCTCGTTCTTTGTTTTAGGGATGCTGCAGTTCATGTAATGGATCATGTTTCCCTCTTCATGTAGCCTGTCTGAAAACTCAGATTCAAATTTATAGCCTACCTCTGGCAAGTGTATCAGGCTTCCTTGCAAGAATTTTGTTTCTTTTACATCACTGCATTTTCTCCTGGACTCATTTTATTCACCTACTTTAAGTTTAGTTTATTTTATTGTATTGGATGCATTTTAAAAATAATACTACTTAAACCCTTTTGGGAAAAAAGAGGTTATAAAGAAATAAAGTTAAAGATAAGTGTGTTTATGTAACATCTTTATTTTAGTTTTTAAAATAAATTTCTCAGGCCTTAATTTCACGACTTTCTCTTCTCTAATCTCAGAATCAATCCATCACTGTCTCACTGTCTAGTGTCATAATTCTTTCTGGATTACCTCCCCTCCCCTCTCCTCCCCTCTCCTCCCCTCTTGTCCCCTCTCCTCCCCTCCCCTTCCCTCCCCTTTCCTCCCCTCCCCTTCCCTTCCATTTCATTGAAAGTAAGGTGTTAATAGCTGATCTCTGCTACTGACACTTTCTAACCCTGTGAATTTTGCTAAATTACTTAATCTGTTTCATTTGTAGGAAGAGTAATAATCTTTATCTTATGTGAAGGTTGTGAGGATTACATGAAATACTGTATGCAAAGTGTCTAGTAAATTATTTGGACTTTTATTGAAGACAGTCTTATAAGCAGAAATGCACTGTATTTGGAGTTTAAAGTCTTTACTTTTTCATTTGTTGGCTTATGCCCTTGGGCAAACCATTTGACCTCTTTGGACCACATTTTTCTCGTATGTAATTTTATGGCATAGTTGAGAGTTTTTAGGGTTCTAGTCCCACTATTTTTGGATTCCAAGACTAGCCCCAAGTAAGTGAGTGTGTCCCCACTCTGTATTCATTGGGAAAGGCACAAATATACCCACCTAGGCATGGAAAGGTGTGAGGAAAGGGAAAGGGTCTGAGGCAGGGAAATGGAAAGGCCCACTGTGCTAGTCTTTATGTTCTTCACTGGTGTTGATTATGGTATTTGCAGTGGATATTAGTATCTTCTGGAATACCCTAAATTACTAGTGATGATAGCCTTGACTTTAAGGAAATTACAAAGTAATCCTTTGTGGATGTTGCTGTGTGTAGCAAATAGTCTGTAAGCTCGTCGCTTGATGAACATGCACTCCATAAAAGTGAGTCACACATTGGTGCCCATGAGGTAGCAGTGGAACAAAGGGAGCTGCTGCTGATAGTCAATGACCATGTTGGCTAATGACTACATTTGGTTCAATCATAGAGTCAATCAAAACAAGTGATTGTGTTGAAGATACGGTTTTTATTCAGAAACGATTGGGCAATAGAATATCCCAAAAGTGAGAGGGAGCTTGGTTACTTGGTTATCATAGGGTTTGTAATAGATGAGGTGGAAAAATCATCTACACTGACATGAAGCTACACTTATGGCAATTCATCAAGATGCAGGAAAGCTTTGTAGTTGAGCACGGCATCTTTTTAGTGTACAATTTTGGCCAAGTTATTCAATTTCTTAAGTCTCAGTTTGCTTATATCTCAACGAGGTATAGATACTAAACTCACATGATTGTTCTAAGGAAATAATTGCCTAAGTGATGTTGTCAGAGGTAACTGTTATTATTAAAACTATTAGTATTACTACAAAACTCGAATTCACACCAGCCCTCAAGGTTCTGCCACCCCTAAACTAGTAAACTATGCAGACTGTAAGAACAAATGTTAAAAATAAATGGTTAGGTCACAGAATGATTGGAGTGTGAATGCAGAAAAAAATTAAAATAGATTTTTGAATCAGTGCACAATGTCTGTTAACTTTTATCCCATCATTTTATCCCTGGGATCTTACATTAAAAAGGAAACTAAACTATCTGCTTGCACTGTTGATTGATTTCATTCTGTGTATATGAGGCAGGATTCTAAAGACATTAGTTTCCACAAGCTACTCTGGTTCTATTTTGTCTACTTCTTCTTCTTCCTTTTTGGTTATTTTAAGACGGAGTCCCACTCTGTTTCCCAGGCTAGAGTGCAGTGGCACAATCTCAGCTCACCACAACCTCTGTCTCTCGGGTTCAAGAGATTCTCCTGCCTCCACCTCCCAAGTAGCTGGGACTACAGGCGAGCACACCACCATGCCCAGCTACTTTTTGTATTTTTAGTAGAGAAGGGATTTCACTATGTTGGCCAGGCTGGTCTCACACTCCTGACCTCGTGATCCGCTCACCTCAGCCTCCCAAAGTCTTGGGATTACAGGTGTGAGCCACCAAGCCCCACCTTTGTCTACGTCTTTTGAAGCTTCTGTGTCCTAACTTTGTGTGGGACAAATATAAATTTGATCAGCTTGTTAACAACAACAACAGCAAAAACAAAAACAACAAAGCATTATGACCTTTAATCCTGAAAAATCTTTATTTTATAATATAACTTCTTTAAAAACTGTAAAAAAATTAACCAGGTTAAAATATTAAAGACATTTTCTAACCATGTGAATCAGCAACCCTAAAGAAAATGAGCCGTAAGGTACTGTGGAACTTCTGCTACAAAAATGGAGAAACCACTGAAAACTAGTTTGGTTTGGGCTCAAGTATTTTTGTCTCAATGAGCTTCAACTTTTGCTTGGTCCTCTAAAGAGTCAGTGAAATTTTGAGGTTCTAAATGGTAACAGTGTATGGTAGTTGCAGCCTTAGAACAGAGCACCTGGGCATGGTGGTTTTCTTGTGCTTCACTCTTTGAATCTTTCAGAAGAGAAGTGAAATTGTATCATCGGAGTCTCATTAATTTACTTAGTTTTGACCTGTACTTTCATGTGCAATTTATTCTATGTCAAGTCATATGTTAGTTGATTTGGAACTGAAAACTCTAGAGACAATTTCCCAGGCAACATTTTCATAGGAAAGAAATTAGGGATGAGCTCTAGGATCCTGGCTGCCTAACACTTAAATAACAAGATATCCTTAATTCAGCTTGTAAAAGATGTTCCATAATTATTCATTTATTATTGAATTAATGAACGAGTTTTTAAAAGCAGTTTGACTACATTATTTAGTTTTTTGTGAAAAAATTATGGTTAAAAATACAAAATTCACCATCTTAACCATTTTTTGAGTATATAGTTTGGTAGTGTTGAGTATATGCATATTACTGTGTGAAAGATCTACAGAACCTTTTCATCTTACAAAACTGAAACTCCAAAAATTAGACAATAACTCCCCATTTCTTCCTCCCTCCCAGCCTCTGCTTGATTCCATTTAAAGTGAGGGTAAGCATATGTTTTCTGATACAACATGATGAGAACAGAGGCCATTTAGTTAGATTGCAAACCATAGGGATAGTGTGTACTTACTTGAAATGTGTGGACAAGTGGCAGGAATGAATGCCCACAGTCAGCATTTTTATTAGTTGAACTATACAAGGTTTGTTACTTGAAATACCTGAAAGACAGATATTACTGATTCTTTTGAATAGTAAGGTTTATAATTAAAATCAAAACCAGAAATGGGATAGGGCAGAAGTACCCTGAAAATGAAGGAGGATAAACTTCAAAATACACAATTGAGAAAAATTGTAAAATTACTTTCCATCAAGAGTTTTTTTTTAAGGCAAATACTCACTTCAATATTGTGGTACTACCAGAATGCTGAGGAAAATGTTAAACAGGTCCCAAGCTAGTTCCTTTTGCAGACTTTTCAAAGCTGTGCTTAAGGAGTCTGGTTTGCCATAGTATGAGGCAAAATCTAAAAGCAGGAGATGTTGAAATGTTGGCTAATATTTTAGGGCCTTTATTTTCTTGAAGAAAAGCACATTAAAAATGCTCATGGTCCTGATTGGGAAAAATAAAAATCATGGAAGACATTTATGTACCAGAGAAAGTATAGTAAGTTTCTGACATCCTGGTACACTTCATTTCCACTCAAAAATACAAGATGATGAGATGTCATCTTACCGGCTACCTACCATTATCATTTTGATAGCTATCCTGTACTAATATGTTGGGTGAAATATGGTATGATAATGATAATGATAATAATGTTGACATGGTGATGGTGACAAGAATGATGATAACGAACTCATAACTGATCCATCCTTCTCTCTGATCTCTTGCCTGCTATGTCCCAAAGTTTGTAAACTTAATGCCCAGTGATACTCCCTAAGCTTTCACAGGGTTAAATTTATTTATAGTCCTCATGACCTAGAGTTGCTCACAACTTGGTATTATAAGTGTGTTTTAGGTACATTTTACATTAAACATGTTTTTACGTGTCAATCTGGGAACTTAATGATTATAAACTTGTTTCCTTGGTAAAGATGTATTTTGAACCCAAATCAAATACATTTTTAAAGAAATGTATTTGAGACTCTGTCTCAAAAAAAAAAAAAAAGAAATGACCCTTTTTAAGTAGAAAATTATTTTGATTTTTACTTGTAATTCTATACAGCATATAAGAAAATACTTTAATTAGTCTTTGGAATGAAAGCTGTAGCTTAATTTTAATAATAGAGAAGAGTAGGGTAGCAAAAATTAACAATATTGT